GAAAAAAGTATTAGCACATGATACAAAAAAATGTTAAATTAAATTTTTTAAAATTAAATAATTAGTTTCCCAAGTATCGGTCAAAAAAAAATCATTTCTTCATTCGAATCAATGTCTATATATCGACCCACAGTCAAAATTTCACATAATAAACATTAATCAGAAAAGAATGATAAAAGGTATCCTTTGTTTTTCTAATTTATATCAAAGGTTTGATTTGACGGAGCTATCGGTAGCATGTATGATTGACCGTTCTTTTTAGAAAGCAACATAAACAAGATTGTAACTATAAAAATACGTAGGAAATAAATTCTGAACAAGCACATACGCACGCCTTCAAGCACAAGAACATGAAATATTGTTAAAAAACATTGTCTTCTAAAATATTTATTTTCAACCTTTAATAATATATTTATTCTCTTTATATTTTATCAATAATTAATTTATATTGATTGGTTCATTTTTATACTTCTTTTCAACATTTTACGGATTATTTAAGGCCGGAAATATTTTTAGATTGTAAGAAGTTTTTAAAGATAATAATGATTTTATTGATATAACTCCTACTAATTAACCCATAGCTGAGGGGAAGAGGTGAATATAAAAGCTTTCCCAACGGTATTTTTGCATAAGTGAATATAGCGGACCAAACCGGAATTGGGATTCCGCTCTCCGATTAAAAATTCCGAGCCATTAAATTGATTATATTAATATTATTACATATTAGCCTATTGTTATATTATAACTATATGAGCATTTGCACCAAACTGTGGTGTACATATACCCACCAAAATCATTGGTATTTTCCAGTAGAATAATGTACCGTTTCAACGGACAAAATTGGTCTGAGAATCATTCTAGAGACGTCGACGAATTGACTGACAAACAAGTTAACATGAGATGAGACCACTTTATAGGCCGGGGTGGTGACATTTATTCCCACACAAGATCAGCCTCTTACCAATATCAGGAAGTTGTAAACAGATATCAACACTGCATGTACAACATCTATACAAAAGGTCCCCCTGCTGCTTGTGGAAGCGATGTTAGTTAGAGATATTGTACTTTTATATGCTTGAAGTACTCATATACCATAACATTAAACATTCCAATGATTCATGGCATGTCAATGTATAATTATTCCTGATCATTTGTCCACGCATCTACCATGAATAGTATTAATACTGTTCAAATTTTACAGGGAAATCCATGCTACTCCCGAATTATCACTTTTGAAGTTTATTGCGAAGCAGTGTGCAGAACCATTAACATTAGTATAAAGATATATATTTAGTGAAATTCGTACTGTCTGCTATTTTGATCTGCTAAAATTGGTGGATACCTTTGCTAGTACGAAATTGGTTTATTCCCCTGGCCATTTCATGCGTAAATATACAGAGTGATAGAATAAAAGAAAATGTCGACTTAAAATAATATTTCCCATGTAGTAGCTTAATTTAATAGAACAAGTTTAGTGGGAAATAGTAATTCTAATGTTTTTCTTTAAGATAGGTTTTCAGAGAGAGCAAAACGCCCAACATAGCTGATCTGTCAGTAGCATGCCCAGGAATCATGCTGTCTAAAATAAATTAAAAACAAATAAAATAAATAAAAAATATTGGCTAATGGAGCTGAAGATATGAAAAGAACATAAATCTTGTCTTGTGAATTCTGTTTTCGAATCCGAAAAGATAATCTAACATTATTTGAATTTTATTGATTTTTTTAATGACTAGAATGTTTTTGCAAGACGCGTCAGCGTGTTGAAATCCTCACCGAATTTAGTATTGTTGAAGTTATAGCTACTATTTTTTGACGAGATTTACATACTGTACGTTTTGTTCAATTGCGCAAAGGGATCGATGAAATTTAAATAAGCTGATGTTTTCGGAAAGATACTTTGACAAAAACCCTACTTTGTGGTTTAATTATTTCTTTAATTTAATTTTATAGGTTTTCATGGTAAACATTATTTCTGAGAAAATTTAATTTTTTCCTTTATAACGGATAACAATAAATTCTTAAGATTTCTTGAGCATGCAGCATACAAATGACCATACGCAAATAATTCTTTCTGGAGCCAAATACCATTTTGAAGTGTTTAGCATAATGGTTTCTTTATAGTTCTCTCATGGCATAGTGAAAGGGAAACAGGATTCTCTTATATAAATAATGCTTGAAGAAAAGATATGCAAAACAATATTGCATTTTTATTAAATAAGTATTTATTATTATAATCATTATTTTTTAATATAGTGCGGGTATTTTGCATGTTAAACAATAAAATTGTTAATATTTTCCCAAAAAATGAAAATACAAAATAAAATTTCATTGACTAAGCTACGCAACCTAGTGATACTAATTGTACTTTGTACCATTTACCTGTCTGTACTTTTCTCCAAAATTTGGTTTTGAACAGTTAATGTATGGCTATTTTAGAGGATGTGACGGACAGACGGACGGACTAATGAATGTCACATAATTATATATATATATATGTGTGTGCGTGTGTGTGTGTCTTTATATTTTTAAGTGAATATAAATTCCCTCAAATACCTTTCCTGTAATATCTGAATTGCCATGGTTCTTTGAGAAAAATACTGGAATGTTTCCTGCTTATCTTCTCTAATTACAATATTATTAGGTCATCCCATAAATTGTGTCTGAATTTTAACTTTTTGTTAAAATGAACGAAACTTAAAGAGTATTTTATAATGTCTAATGGACCTGAACATTATTTTTATGTTTAGATGCATTTAAACTGATCAAATTTTATTTCAGAGAACAATAAAATTAAATTTTGTTTGATTAAAACCCTGCTAACATTGAAGTACCTAAGAATCGTTTGAGGCACATAATGTTTTATGAGTTCAAGAAAGGAAACTCAGCAGAGGAAGCGGCTAGAAACATTCACTCAGTTTATGGAGAGGAATGTGTGGAAAGAACTTGCAGAAGATGGTTTGCAAAATTCAGAGGTGGAGATTTCACCCTTGAAGATGAAGATCGAACCGGACATCCAGTTGAGTTTGATGAAAAGCTTCTTGAAGCAGCCCTTGAAGAAAATCCTGCTTTATCAGTTGAGGAATTGGCAGTGGTTCTCAGTTCAAACCATACAACTGTTCATCGTCATCTTCAACAACTTAGAAAAGTTCCTAAACTTGGAAAATGGGTGCCTCATGAATTGTCTGAAAACAACCTCAAATCCTGAGTTGACATCTGCTCTTCTCTCCATTCTCGCCAACTTGTTTCACTTTTTTTTGGATAGACTTGTGACTGGCGACGAAAAATGGATCTTTTATCGAAATGTTAAGCGTCGTAGACAGTGGCTTGGTAAAGGGAAGGACCCCAGCCACAGCCGAGAAGGGAACTTCATGGGCAAAAAGGTTCTTCTTTCAATCTGGTGGGATCGCCAAGGAATAATCCACTTTGAATTCTTACCACCTAATGCAACAATTAATGCTCAAATATACTGTCAGCAATTAGAGCGTTTGAACCAAGCTTTTTGAAAAAAAAAAGACCTGCTCTAGTGAATCGAAAAGAGGTGATGTTTCATCAGGGCAATGCGCGACCCCACACAGCAAGAATCACGTCACAAAAGATCGAAGAACTTGGTTGGGAGAAAATTCCTCATCCACCTTATTCTCCCGATCTTGCTCCTTCAGACTACCATTTGTTTCGTAGCTTACAGAATCATTTGGAAGAAACAGCTTTTGTAACACAGGAAGAGGTTAAAACTGACATTTGTGAGTTCCTCGAATCAAAGCCAAAAGAATTTTACAGTAATGGAATTAGTAAGCTTGTTAATAGATGGAAGGAAGTCATAGATAATCAGGGAAAATACATTGTTTATTGAATCTGTAATTAAATGTAACATTTGGTCACTTGTTTTCTTTATTCAAAATTCGGACAGAACTTATGGGATGACCTGATAGTAATATGCGTGTTACGATTATTTGGTTATCTTGATTAAATCAACTGCATTAAATAATTAATATGTGATAAATATCAACTTCAATCCCAAAAAGTTATATATAGTAATAGCAACTTTTCATTCCTTCATGACATGTGTAAACATCATGCTCCACAACGTCCTATCCAGTGACACTTTTGTTAATATTTAGCAATTTACTATCACTTCCCCTGTCCAGGCTGTCATCCATGTAGCGTACCACGAAATTATATGTTAGACAATAAATGAAGTGTATTTTCAAGATAACGGGTACTTGTTTAGAACATTTATTTATCAATTCAAATGTTTTTTGATTTTAAAGTGGATCTCATATATCCGATGCTAGTTGATTTATTTATTGTACGTCTATTCAGAAAAATGTTTAAATATAAAACTCCAATTTTACGAGTCAGATCAAACTACAAATGGAGTATTGCTGCCATATGTAGAAATGGAGCTGCACAGTCATCACTCGATAAAGTTCAAAGGCGTCTGCGAGGCCGTGTGAGTAACTGAATTATTTTCAACGCTACGGCCCCTTTCCCAAAGACGAAACGTTTCGAAACACCCGCTGCTCTATCACCTCATGTTCTGACGAGTTACATTTCTTTGATTCACCAACCCTTACCATTATAATGTAAACCCACCATGACAAGTACACAAGGGTGAAACATCCCCATTTCCTTCGTATTCGTATAATATTAAATAAACAACATTCGGCCAGTTTCTTCCCAAGAATTGCTGCTTTGTGGAAGCGACACATGGCAGGATTTTTTTTCCGGTCATTACATTTTTTACCATTTTATCAAGACCATATCTAAGGTTAAGCGTTATATTTCCGGCATAACCCCATAAAATTAATATCGTCCCTTTTCTTACGGACATACAACAATTTTTACTGTAACAAAAAAAAAACTTTGTTTTTATTAAAAATTAAAAAAAAAAAAAAAAAAATTGCATCGTGCTTATCTTATGGTAGTCTGTTGATTCCCTCTGTAAATTTTACATTCGATATCTGCTGTGAGTTTAAAATTTTCTAAATGCTCCAGAAATGTCGGCTGTCATTTTTTTTATGCTGAATAGAAGCATCTATTTTTGCATTCGTTTTTTTTTGGTTTTTCTCGAAAAAAATTTTCCTTTAGCGGTATTTCGTATTTCGGTGTCACCTTTTCCATCCTCTGTCAAAATATATCCTCGATATTTAATCTTCTGTACCAACTTGATTTTGCCATCTCTAGGTCATAGGCTGCGTCATAGGATTTTCACTCTTGCTGGCATCCATGCATTCTGTCTTCTTGCAACTGATGCTAAATATTTCCCCTCGCTTTTTTTACTGCATTGTCAAGGTGATCCTGTGTTTTTTTTCTGCCGTCAATACGGTGTTATTTGCATATAATATATTAAGTTATCAGATTTCTAATATTAAAGTGGGATTTTTCGCAGCTGCATCAAGTCTCCGAGAATATCAAGTCTCTGGAGATAATGCTGTGAGTGAACGCACCGCCAAACATTGGTTTTAGAAGTCGATCTTGGGAGATCTGTCCCTTTGTGTTCAACTCCGCAGTGGCCGGCCACAAGTCCTGGATGATTAGGCCCTGAAAACAGCCATAGAGGAGGACAACAACCAAAGCTGAATTGCACTTGGGCGTTGCATTATGTGAACAGTTACAGAAAAAATGCACTTAAAAATGTACAGTTGTCTTACATTGCGTATTATATTATTTTCGCGACCTCCTCTCTTTCTCTCTTACACAGAGCACAAAAAATATATACATGTGAAATTAATTTTGACTTTATATATTTTCTGTTCATGGAACAATCTCATGCGAATATCATTATTAATAAGCAACACAATATTTCCACTGTCTTGGGCATGACGATAGGTAAATCCGGCAGAAAATTCTCTGATCGGAATGTTTAGAGGAGAACCTTTTTCCCAGATCTATTAAGAACCGGGGTGGCAGCACCTGATAGGGTCCCAGCTATCGGTCAATAGTTAAGCACAATCTGGGGAGAAAACACTATGAATGTGTAAACAGTTATATATTAAATATACCAGCAATATATTTTCATAGTAAAAAAAAATATGCCAGTAATAAATTAGATAGATTTCTGTAAGGAAATAAATAAACCAAGCAATATATTTTTGTAAAATAATTCACTAATGTTCCCAGGAAAATTAAACTTCGGCATTAAATGACACATAAGGAGTTGATATGCCGCTAAACAAACAATTAATTAATAAACCATAATTCCTGTACATTTTTATTCCTCTTAGTTTTCTTTATAGAAGATTTACTTGTAATGATTTATAAAGTGAAAGTTGTAATAAAGTGAAGCAAATCATATTTGCTTTTAACATAGAACCTCAGATTCCAATAAGGGATCTAATAGATTTATCATGATACATTTATAAAAATGCACATATACATTAATATTATAAAAGTTACATATAGTTAGTACACGTGTCTGAGTAGACATTTCAGTTATTTACACAAGGAAATTAGCATCTGCAATCCACAAGTTGGAACATTGTATTTAAAAGAAATTGTCTCCGGGCAGAATTAGAGTCTTCGCTTTTATTTCAGTCTGAGAAACCACCTTCCTGCCAATCAAATCATTCGGAATTCTTTACAATTACAGTTCAAATACCAACTTAAGAAAAAAAATCTGTCTTGAAACCAATCAAAAAAGCCTTTTTTAAACTAATGTCATTAACGTAAAATTTTGAAAAAAGTTAATTCATATTTTTTTATACGACGTTATTTCTAACAATTAGAAACGTTTATTTCTTGGGTACTCATCTCAGAGTAAATTGTGTTTGTAACCAATGGAATTAACGTATACACACCGAGAATTATGAAACATTTAAAACTGTTCCTATTTTGAGTGTTTTTTTTTTGTTTTATTTTTTGTCTTTTATATTCATTTTTTTTTCTCCTGGAAATTATTTTCACCTTCAGTCTTATTTTTTTCTCCTTTTTTAACATTATTAATTAATTCCCTGGTGCATTTCTTTCTTTCTTACTTTGTTTATTTTCCGAGTTCTGTATTTGTCGATTTATTTTCTTTCTGTCTGGTTTTTCCTTAATTTTTTCCGGGTTTTACATTTCCTCATGTTGTTCTTTCTTTCTTTCTTTCTTTCTTTCTTTCTTTCTTTCTTTATTTCTTTCTTTCTTTCTTTCTTTCTGTTATCCTGATCTTGTATTTCCTCATTTTCTTTTATTTCTTTATGTGTTATGCATTCTTTCCTTACGCCGATTTTTTTTTAAAAGGTTCTTCCTTTCTTTCTTTCTCATTCATATATTCTCCTCATTCTGTATTTCTCTATTTTCTTGATTCTGCATTTCCCCATTTTCTTTCTTTTTCCTTCTGTTATGTACATGCTTTCTTCCTTTTCTATGTTTTAAATCATCTTTCGTTTTTTTTCTTCTTCATCTATTTTCTAGATTTTGCATTTTCCCATTTTTTTTGTTTCATTGTCTCTTTCTTTTACGTACATAATTTCTTTCTTTTTTTTCTTATATTTAAAATGTTTTCCTATTTATTCTTTATTTCTTTTTTCCGTTTTCATTTTTAATTCCTTCATTTCGCCTCTTTCTTTTTTTTCTTTCCTTCTCAATGTCCCTGTCTCTCATTCATTCTTCGATACTTTCCATCATATTTCTTTTTTTTTCTTTGTTCTTTTTTTTTTTTTGAATTTTTATTCATTTTGTCAAAATCAACACCAAAATATAAATATTATATTTCGGGCGCTGACGATCGATTGCCTCCATTTGCTGTACTGACGCCGTTCATCTGCCGGGTTGACACTTCATCAGTTTCGCTGACTTTGTTGTTTCAGAGCTTTCGAAATTAGAAACAAACTATAAGTGGAATAATTCTGTTGTAAGATGTCTCCAGTGGCATTCTCCCCGGGAAAACAAACACATAGAGATATAAAAAGCACACCTTAAAAATATTTATCGTCTATGAATCAACCATCTATCAATCTATCTAGCGATCTATCTTATTTTTTTTATTGATAGATCCTAAGCAATTCTATAAAGCCACTAAGATGCAAGTGGTTACGGATGATGGAAAAAACCGTTAAGAACGAAAAAAAAAAGGTAGAATGTACAATAAAAGAAGAGGAATAAGGGGACGGAAGATGGATATTGATGTTGTATTTAATGTTTTTGAAGTTCGTAGGTGACAAAGAAGCATGAAATCGGAAAAGAATTAAGCAGAGAAGAAGCACAAATGATGTAACTTTGGGAATAGACATTACGGTTACATCTAGCCATTGCAACGGTAAAACTATAAAAGAAAAACTGTGTTCTAATGTACTTGTGCGCTTAAATATATGCTGTCGAAGGATGAAGGAGTAAATTATACAAACACACGCTGTCAAATGAACGTGAAATCTGCATAACTAATGAAAAACAAACAATACAAAAATATACCTTAATATTTTCCATATCTCATTCTCTGGCAAAGTTTTAATAAAAGAGAAACCTGTTAGAGTTTTTGGGTAGTTTGGTGTACTAGTTAGCCAGTCAAAATGAGCTAACTCATTTTACAGTTAACCAATATAAAGGTTAACCAATCAGAAGGCTCAAAATATTCAATGTGACGGCGGCCACGTTTTTTTTTCCACGAATACTCACTGCCAATCTTTGTTCGTGAGTGTTAATCTTTAACGTTGTTCCATTGAATAGAGTACGTACTTCGCTGTATTCTCTATTCATAGACTATGGTGAACATGGTCAACAAAACCCGTTAGATTTATATGCGTTTTCTATTTGTTCTTTATCATTCTCTTGGGTTCCGATTCGTATTCGATCCCAATTCATATATATAGCTATCTAAATTTCTTTAGTATGATAAAAAAACAAAACAAAAAAAACAAAAACAAAAACAGAATGTGTCTACATATAAGTGTCACGCACTTACATTGTTTTATGTATGCGCATAATCTCCTAGAATTTGGCACCCAATAGGTAGTGATCATTTTCTGGAGGGAAATTTTAAAATTTCGAAGGGAGACAACAAATATTCATTTTCTGAAAATTCAATGGACTTTTGCCCATTTGTGATAACGTCACTGATTGGTTAATTAATACGAATATAGAAATTCATATCTGGAGCTTACAAAATACATCAAAATGAGTCGACTTCTGTGTGAGCCTGTTTTGTAACACATACACACACACACACACACAGACAAAGACACACACACAAATGTATATATATATATATATACCTTATATTCTTTCGGGCTGAAGTCAATAAAATTAGGGCATTCTTATTCATCTGTGATAGGATTATTTAGTATTCACTACCATATAGGAGAACCAATATCATACTTCATAATATACTTCATTAATCTTATCTTTGTTTCCAACGATATTATTCAGTTTCTTTATACTTTGCTTAATTTCTCGAAGGCGTCTTTCACTTTCTCAATGCGCCTTCGGATGTCGGTGTTGCATTTTCTGCCCTCTGTCAAAAATCTTCCGACATATTTAAATTTTAGCACCTGTTTAATTTTGCTATTAGCAATTTGTAATTCGCATGTTGGCTGTTTCTTTTACTGACAACCATACATTTTATTCTCTTATAATTCATATTTATTTTTATGCTCTTGCATGCTTTTACATGCTGTATAGTGTTACTGTAGTTTCCTTTCTGTCCCTGCTATCAACATTGTCTCACCTTGGTCAGCCTCTCTAAGAATTGCTTCTCTGTAAAGTTTAAATGAATCCGGTGAGAAGACACATCCTTGTCCTTCCCCACTTACTTTTTTGTGTATTTTCTAAATTCATTATCTATTCGTAGGCAGTTAATTTGATCCAAGAATACGTTATTGATTATTCCAATATCCTTCCTCCCAAATCAAGTTAATCAGCTGTCTAAACAGTTCTTTGTGGCATACTGAATCAAAGCGTTTGCGCCAGTTACATAAATTGAAAAAAAGACCGCTAAAAGAGCTTCTGCATAAATATCTACATCAGTGGTCAAAAGCCTCGCCATCGGAACATGCAAAATGTCATTTGTTTAGCATATCCTGATATATGAAGGTGAATAGATTGGCTAATGAACCGCTTGAGAAATACACGATCTAAAACTGATCAGTTGGACGGCTATAAAGGAAAAGCTACATATGTCATAAGAAAACAGACATTTTGTGAGAGACATATAAGTTCATATTGGTACACGTACCTTTTCTAATAGAATTGCGTGTTGCGATATATATATATATATATATATATATATATATATATATATATATATATATATATGTGGTAGAAAATTATGTGTGTATGTGTATTTGTGTGTGTGCGTAAATTATTTTCCGATAGAGTGTATCTGTGAAAAAACAAAGTGAATATAATAACAATAAGAAAAAGTTCTTAATCAACGCGTTTCGTCCACTGAGGGACGTTATCTAGGCAAATGTATGCATGCGTTTATATACAAGAGCATGGATATTATTTCTTTTATCAAGTATTTTAAATACGAGAACGTTCATGAATACTCATCAGGTGGGTGAAAATTCAGACAAAACATGTTGAGAACATAAAGTTCCATAATTAATTAAATTGCGTCTGCTATATATATATATATATATATATATATATATATATATATATAGAGAGAGAGAGAGAGAGAGAGAGATTAATAAATGAATATTTCTTAAATTGTGATTAGGTACTTATGGTTAGGGATGGACGTATGTGTTGTACATCTTCAAAAATATGAGGTAATTGATTTAACGGTTTTCTTTTGACTTTTTGACTTTTTTGAGGTCGTGTTTGTTGGCTTGGAAATGTAGGGATTCTTTCAGCAAAGGTGAGATCGGAAAGAAACTGGGGCACAAATTTATAGTTTCATAAACTCATGGACGAACACATCTACCAAAAGAAAATGAGTGTCCTCATCGACGACGACAGCATCAACGAAAAAGTAAACGACAACAAAGTTCAGGAAAGAGACACACAAATCTATAACCGGATAACGTAGACAACTACTCGTCAAACCTCAGTGAACACCATCCTAAATCACACAAATTATATGAAGTACCAAAACACACAAATTGGACATACCAATGAGACCTATAATATCAGGGGATAAGCAACGCTGCACATAAACTAGACGGCACATTATGCAAAACCTTAACTCCACTCATCAGTACAATTTGTTCCTCACACACAGATTCAATAAAATTTCAGGTAACCATTTAAGCAAATTAAAAACAGAGTCATCAAAAACAAATACAGGGTGCCCATAACGTTTGTGTGCACTTTAAGAATGTATAACTTTATTTGTATTTGCGATAGAAATAATTTGTAAAAAGGATTAGAAAGAAATAATTCTATATTAAAAAAATATAGAATTATTTCTTTCTAATCCTTTTGTTGAAATTTTATTTACGTTTCCACATGTCCTCCATCATTAGCAATACAAGGGGTAATACGATTTTGCAGTTCACGGAAAACATTTGCCAACTGATTTACAGTAATGCCTGAAATCACATTAGTTATTTTCGCTATACTTAAAACTAGGTACATTAAACTTTATAACGTTTTTTACAGATTATTTCTGTCGCAAATACAAATAAAGTTATAAATTTTTTAATGTGCACATGAAATTTATGGACACCCCGTATATGGCCAGTTTAGACACAAGATCTTTACAGACAAAGGCCCCTATAGAGAATGGCCTAAATTTAATAAAAACACACTTAACAAAACAAGAATTGAATTACATATCCCATCACATTTCAACGGTGGGATTTTCTCTCAGGTCGTTTTCGTTTCACTGCTTTTGAAATTTCTACCGAAAATCTCTTATTTCAGACCAGAGACGATTCCTTACTAATATATCCACAAAATGCTATTTTATCAGATCATGTCAACAAACCTAATACCGTTGAACCCACAGTATTCACTTTTGAAGCTGAAGCCAAATAAACTCTTCCCTTTCTAGATATCATCTGACGTAGAAACAATAATGAGCTCAAATTTAACTTTTACAGAAAAGCTACAAGCAAGGATGACATGGTAAACGTTTATTCCCACCATTCTAATATGAGTAAATCTAGCATAATTATAGCTTTCTGCCGAAGACTATTAAGAATCCGCAGCCCCAATAACTACCAAAAGAAGAAACAAACATAGAAAACATATTCAAAAACCTTCAATATCCTTATCATTTCATCTACAACGTAAAGCATATGAAGATAATATCCACAACAATAAACAAGAGATGCTCTGGTATGCTTCCGAACAGGTGCCAGGAGCTGTGGCATCTACCCAAAATATAACTTCATGCCAAGTCCCTTGTGTACAATATTCTCAATTCTCCCACTGGATATGCTAATAGCATTTACTATTTGATTTACAGTCAATCACCATGCATTGAATGCGATCAATATTTTACTCGGTCCTGGGTATGACGGTAAACTACACCCACGTCCAGGGGAAGACGATAAACTACGTCCAACATCAAAGCCTCGGATCAGGAAGCTTTGGATAGCGTAGAACCAGCTCTTATTGCTGGTGTTCCCAGGTCCAACCTGATCCGGGGTGGTAATACATGTTAGGGTCCCAGCTATGGGCAAATAGCTAACAACGAAACTGAGGTAAAAAGCATTATGAAAGTCTAAAACTAGGTTTTAATACCAGAAATACTTTGTAAAAAAATATTACCAGAAATAATTTTTTGAAGAATAAAAACAATTACCAGCAATACGTTTTGTAATATTATATTAACAGCTATACATTTTTGAGGAAAAAATATTACC